TTCTAGGTGACCTTTTAAGGGTAAAAATCCGTTAAAAATGGGCAATTATACCATAATTTAGATGTTCGAAAATCCTAGGAGAGGCAGGCAAGCAAGAAATTTTTCAACAAATTTTCCGAAAATTCTAGATCGCAAATCGTCTTCCGAACAGATATTTTGGCGAAAATTGTCGTTGGGTGCCCCTGTTAAGCCTTCAAAGATACATCTTAAATTTAAGATGCATGCACAGATATGCCATTCATTGATTCCTTTTTGTTTACTGCAGGAAAAACTGTACTCTTTGTTGCAAATCGTCAATGGAATACTCTGAAAATTTTATGTTCTGGCGCTAGTAGGCTGTGGCAGACTTGTCAAAACCAATGTTAAATAAGATAGGAGAAGAAATAGCATAAGTTTCCGATATGCATGCAATGTATACTACAAGTTGGAAGCAATGAAGTTTCCAGTTAAATTATAATGACTTGAGAGTTGAACTAAACCTATAAAATTTCAGTAGGTTTGTTGAGTTGAGCTTCGATTCATGATTTTCATACATTTGCAATAAGGTCAAAAATAAAAGGCAGCTCTATCTAGCCTGATGTGTGGACCTTCAGTTCAGAAAGCTGTTCAGCGACTTTGAAAGAAGCAGTCATTTAGCATTATTTTTTTCCATAGACATGCTTGTATTATTCAAAGATGTTTATTTACTTTGTCTTTTCACTGACATTGAGTGCTAGATTGCTTTTCTGTAACTTGGTATGCCTTAATAAGTGGAAATTGCAAATTGGCTACTACGTCATTTACTATCATAATTATTACAATTTATAAGAAATATTTCTAACCAAAAATTAGTATTATTATTAGGTATTTTATTGGTGTAGAAATTAAAGGTATAACAACTGAGCATGATCGAAAGTTTTGTTTTTATTATTATCCTCCAGGCAATAAAAATATTGACAAATAAACAGGATTAGACATTGATGTTTCCATTAGCCTTGTGTGCCTTTTTTGAGTAACTTCAATTTACATTTAATTTCATTTTTGGGACATGTGAGTCAGTTGAACTGAGTTTCACCATGTTGATATTATGAAACCAATTTCCTTTGCCAGTCAATTCTATTCAGTTTGCTTTTCACTTTTTGCCAGTTCTATATAAATCAAGTTCTTCTGAAATTACCATAAAATCATAAATAAACCAACAGATCAGGCTATAAACCTGAAGTTGTTTGTGACTATATGAAAACACAACCATGCATGCAGTTGACAGTACTTCAGACAAATTTATTGCAAGTGGAAAGTGCAAATGTAAATTTGTGTGTCAATTGATATAAGCTAGTTGATTTACTGAATATTTGCTTGTGAAACAACATACCCAATTTGTGTGAAGTGGTATGGCAAATTCTACCCTGCAAGCAGCGTTTTCTCTCTTGCATGGCTTTTAGCGTTTACGAAGTCGTTTGGGTGGCTTGTCTGTCATGTAGTTGGTTTATTTACGTTTAAACAAACCTCTGCTCGCAGGGTAGTGAAATTCTATTGCCACATGTGAAAGCTCATGTGAAGTGTATGTGAAAATAATGTGTGAATTAGTAGCATGTGAAATTCTAGATGTTTTGCCATTCAATGAGGATTAAATACATGTGAAAGCCCATGTGAAACCCCATGTGAAGTGTATGAAAATATGTGTGAATTTAAATGAGGATTTACATGTGAAAGCCTGTGTGAAACCCCATGTGAAGTGCATGTGAAAATCTGTGTGAAAGGGATGACATCGCTTCACACCCTTTTCACACATATTTCACTATGCAAAATTTCACATGCATGTGAAATATGTGTGTGAAATGCATGTGAAAAGTGTGTGAAAAACGTGTGAAAAACATGTGAAAAGAGTGTGAAAATAGGACATTTTTCACATGTTTTTCACATGGTGTTTCACATACATACTCCTAGTAGTGAGAGTTACCCGATAACAAAAAAGCGGCAATGGGAATGTTGATATCGACAGAAAAAAAGACTAGCGAAAAATACCACACACGCCGAAGTCTATCAAAAACAAATTGAAGATATGGTTAGTAGAGAGGTCGCAAAAAAACTAACCCTTAAAGAGTTAAAAGAATATAAAGGACCGATTCACTCTATCTCGCACCATGAAGTCTTGAAACCAGAATCCAAATCGACGCCAGTAAGAATTGTGTTCAATAGTAATGCACGCGACATGGGACATGCTCCAAACGACTACTGGGCGAAAGGACCGCACCTTCTCAACGACCTCTTGGGAACACTCATAAGATTCAGAGAAAATAAGATAAGTACGATCGCCACTGTTGCATTACGAAAAACAGCTGAAATGGGACGACACAAATATCGTAAAGCTGCGAAAGTAATCGAGGAAAACACTTATATGGACGACGTAATAGAGAGTGTGACTGATAAAGAACAAGCGGAGAACCTCACCCAAGATATTGAAAATTTACGAAGAAAGTTTTAAAATGAAAGAGTGGATCTTCACCCATGATAGTAAAGAACCCTCCAAGACCTTGACGATACCTACTGACGTGTCATCACGAACAGAAAAAGTGTTAGGAGTTGCGTGGAACCCCATTCAAGACGACTTCGAGTATAAAATTCAGTTGAAGACCACTGCTAAGGGAAAGAGGAAGTTCCGTATCCAGTCAAATGCAAATAAACTGGGAGAAATCGATGCAGATAATCCTACCAAAAGAATAATTTTATCCCAAGTAAACAGCATTTATGATCCTCTCGGATTAGCTGGACCTTTCACAGTCAGAGCAAAGATTCTACTAAGACAGTTATGGGGAATGGAAGAGAAGCTAAACTGGGACGACCCTATTCCGGACAACTACACTCGAGACTGGAAACAATTCTGCCAAGATCTGCTGGAGATGAACGATGTTAAATTCAAAAGATGGTTAATGCCAGAGGATGCGATAGATGATCCGATATTAATTATCTTTAGCGGCGGATCCAGCCATGCATGTGGTGCATGTGCATATTACAGATGGAAGCTCAACAACGGACAATTTAAATGCAGACTTATACTATCAAAAACCGACTCGCGCCAATAAAAAGATTATCAATTGACAGAATCGAACTCTGTGGGGCTGTATTAAACTCAAGACTGAAAGCATTTCTAGAACGACATTGCAGATATAAGCTTCAGAAGTGTTATCACATAGTGGACTCTCAAATAGTACACAACATGATTCGAAAGGAATCATATGGATTTAATACCTTTGCAGCAACCCGAGTAGGGGAGATACAACAGAACACCAACCCTGATGACTGGTATTGGACAGAAAGCAAAAAAAACATCGCAGACTGGCTAACTCGCGGCAAAACACCAAATGACCCAAACTCAGAAAGTATTTGGCAAAAGGGACCCGATTTTCTTGAATTACCCGAAAGTGAATGGCCAATTAACAAAGCTTTGACCAAAGAGCAACTTTCTGACCAAGTCAAAGTAGCGTACAATATAACGTAGACCTGCCAATTAATGATACAGACACACTTGCCTCGAGATTTAACATAGAAAGATACTCAAATTTTGACAAACTATTAAGAGTGACAGCCCGTGTATTATTACTGTACCAAAGAACACCAAAACCTTCATTTCAAACCGCAGGAAAACCATTCATCCCTCTTGATGTAACGAAGGCGGAACATTTCTGGATTATGGAAGCACAAAGAAATATGCACGCAGACATTAAAAAGGCAAATACAAACGTCTATGCCCTAGAAAAAACGAGCACGGAATATACGTGGTTGGAGGACGAGGTGAAAGATGGATTGAGATGAGTCACAATGAAAATGAAGTAATACTGTTGGCCTATGACAATAGATTTTCCCGTCTCTATGCTAAACATATTCACAGACAAGGACATCTTGGTGTGCTCTCCACGTGCAGTAAAATACGCTCGAAGTTCTGGATAATTAAACTATTGAAAATGGTGAAATTCATACGATACAACTGCCTGATATACAAGAAATTAGACAAGAGATCAAGCGAACAGATTATGGGAAAATTACCGGTGGAAAGACTGAAGCCTACACCTACATGCACAGCTATTGATCTCTTTGGTCCGTTCAAAATTAAAGACGAGGTGAAGAAAAGAACTATTGGGAAGACGTATGGTGTGATATTTAACTGCTTGGCTACCCGTGCCGTTCACGTAGATCTAGCCGCGGATTACAGCACTGAAAAATTTCTCATGGTCCTCAGAAGATTCGTATCAATCAGAGGTTTTCCCTCCAAACTTTATTCAGACAATGGCCCTCAACTGGTCGCCGCAAACGAAGAACTAAAAAATGTAGTTAAGGGTTGGAACCAAGAGGAACTCAAAACATTTGGAGTGATGGAAGGATTTAAGTGGGATTTCGCCCCAGCTGATGCACCATGGCAAAACGGAGTTTCTGAAGCATTGGTTTAGTCCATAAAACGAGCAATAACAGCAGCAATCAGTGATCATGTTTTGACATTTTCCGAACTGCAAACTGTTTGCTTTCAAACGGCAAATCTTGTGAATGAAAGACCAATCGAAGGACACCCTACTTCACCTGATGATGGAACGTACCTCTGTCCCAATGATTTATTGCTAGGAAGAGCGACATCAAGAGTACCAAGCAGACCCTTTAGAGAGACGTCAGATTTCTGCCGTAGATTTGAATTCGTTCAAAGTATCGTACAAGCTAGCTAACAATCGCCAAATGGAGGCGTAAGAAAAGCGCGGCAGAAAAACCATATTGGTACACCTCGTTTACTCATGCACCCACTTTTGCTTCATGGAACAGACAGAGGAGAGAGACCTTTGAACAAGGTTTGAATAAGCGGCGGGTAGTTGTTGGCGGTTAGGTGATTATTTTGCACAGTTGACTGTCTCCTGATTTTAATAATAATTTGAAGGAAAATTAAATTACGAAATATTTAGCTTCGTGGAAAATACAGGAAACAATCTTTTTTATACATCAAAGAAAAAACATTTTAAGGTTTTAAGAGACATTTTATTACGGACTTTTATTTTTGAGACTACAACATAATAGACAATAATGAAATAATATAACTGTCTTTGGAAAGCTTGCGAAATTTCTATGTAATGTCTTCTTTACTTTAGTTTAGATTATCTGTGGAATAGGAAGAATAACAAATACGTCAAAACATGCACGATATGACTTAACCCAGGGACCTCTTTGCACAAACGAAAAAAAGGTCGGCTAACATCTTTCTGTTTTGTTACGACACTTAACAAGTCTTTTGCCATACCGTAAACTTCCGCTTATAAGCTCTGGGCTTATAAAACTTCATAAGGGATTTTGGGAGGACTTCTAAATGTTGGGGGATCCTGGGAGCTAATAACTTGAGTAAAAAACGCATTTGAAAACAAGCTTCATTACAGTCATTTAAGCTTCAAAACATCGTAAAAAATTGAAGAAAAAAAATGAGAGGCTTATATAACTGGATGTATTTTTTTACAGGTAGATGTAAACTAGGGGTGGACCTATAAGGGAGCTGCAACGACGACGGCGACGGCAACGAGAACGGCAAAAAGTGATAGGTAAAGATTACCAAGACAACAACTTTGCACGCGCATCACCCTTTTTTGTACATTTCTTTGCTGTCGCTGCACGACTGCAACGCGTGTAAGTGCCTAATTAGGCAGTTAGGAGAGTACAGTTATGTTGTAATTACAGTTAAAAATACTGAAAATTACAGTTTACGTGTAAGTCTTAAAACAAGGATTCCTGATGTCCCGCTGTATACATCGTTAAAGTTGCTTTATTACCTTTAATTAAAAAGCGACATTTGTAATAATTTACTGACTATTCGACATTAAGTTAGGATTAAATTGGTAATTTTAGGCGGTAATAAAAACCCTTCAATTATATGATAATTAGTTTTTACCTTAAATTTGGTCATTATACAGCATATTATTATTTTAGAAAAATTACTTTTATAATTTATTAGAAATATTAGTTAAGAAAAGCTAAATTTTTCACGTTTGCAAACAATGATTCAGAGTCTCGGACAAATTGCTAATGTTGCGAACTATATGCTCGGAAGAAAATGCAGCATTCTGAGCCTCAAATAGACCGTTGTTAGCGTTAGTTTTCTTGTTCAGTAGAAGAAGGTGGTTTACAGAATATTAATAAACTATCCAGTCTTAAACAGTATACACATGTAGAAAGAGTACGAACAACATTCAAACGCTAGTCGAGGAAAAAAATACACCAGACTCATCGATAAACTATAAAACTTCGCTTGCATCTTCTGTTTTCAAGCGGCTTTCCGAATTACGCACCAGTACTTTGTCGTATTTACCCACAGCTCGCAGGCGACAGCACTAATTGCAGACCCTCCCCCCGCAAAAAAAAAAAAAACGACAACAACAACAAAGCAACAAAGAAAAAGAAGAAAAATACTCCTTCTCGTTGACGTTCTCGTCGTCATTTTCTCAGAAAAGGTAAAGCTAAGACTTAATTGCTAGTCCGAAATGTTATTTACAATGATCTAACTATTACCTTCTTAACCGCTGGGTGCTGCGCCAGCCTGAACAGTAACCGTAATTTGCTTGGAAACCGTGCCCTGAGTGTTAGTGCCTTTACACTCGTAAGTGCCTGAATCAGAGACCACCGCTCCCGTAATAACCATTTCCACACCCGTTAGTTTCGCATCCAGGTCGTAGATTTCGTTCATCGTACTGCGGCCATCAGGGAGAGAACCTAAACAAGTTAGAAATCAGTGATAAGTAAAAGACGAAACTAGGATACTGTACTGAATGGTTTGACTCGGTGGTGATATCGTATGTAAGATTATGTACTTATTAACTGAGTGGAAGGGTCGGACGGGAAACCAAAAATTTTCCTGTCCCGTCCTACTTAACTCAATCAATAAGCATTTTATTACATGACCGTTGTGTTTTTGAATTTTTCTGACGGTGTGCGAACCCGCGTCGATCAGTGCACTTTTCCAGCAGGGCCGTACACGCTTTCTTCTGCCCTAACACTTGACGCGTACGGCCCTCGTGCGGGACTTTTTTCATATGGTCTTCCAACGAAATGGCGCCTGGGGCCCGCTGTACGGGTCATTCCGAGCGTAGCGACTTTATAATCTTGTCGCGCGCGAAACGCGGGCGCAGTCTGCTAACCGCGCGTGGTCTCAGCCAGCTGCGAAATTCGAGGCTTCATAAATAAATAAATAATTCTTTCTTTCTCTGAATATATGCTTGGTATCCGCCAATGACGTCATGGAGCATTTTGCGTTTCCAGGCAACATAGAGTTCGCCGCCCGATGACCAAGGCGCACTTTGATGTGTTTATTCATCGTCTGTGAATCAAAGTTTACCATCGGTGAATCACGAACAATTTCCTTTGCAAATGACACACAAGCACAACAAGTGACTCCAAATCCTCGCCCAGGAAGATTTTCCACCGAAATTCCTCTGGAGCGAGAACGCCGACTTCCAATTCAGCGTGAACAACGAAGGAGAAGACGTCAACAAGAAACCGTGT